TTAGGTCCCTTTTAAATCTTTCCCCTCTCACCTTAAACCTATGCCCTCTAGTTTCCCCCACCCCAGGGAAAAGACCTTGCCTTTTTACCCAATCCATGCCCCTCATGATATTATAAACCTCTATAAGGTCACCTCTCAGCTTCCGATGCTCCAGGGAAAATGGCCCCAGCCTATTCAGCCTCTCCATTAATCTCAAGACCTCCAACCCTAGCTACAGCCTCGTAAATCTTTTCTGAACCCTTTGTAATTTCACAACATCCTTCCTATAGCAGGGAGACCAGAATTGCACACAGTACTCCAAAAGTGGTTGAACCAATATCCTGTACAGCTGCAACATGACCTCCCAACTCCTACACTCGATGCACTGACCAACAAAGGCAAGCATACCAAACACCTTCTTCACTAACCTATCTACCTGCAATTCCACTTTCAAGGAACTATGAACCTGCACTCCAAGTTCTCTTTGTTCAGCAACACTCCCCAGGACCCTACCATTAAGTGTTTAAGTCCTGCCTTGATTTGCCTTTCCACAATGCAGCATCTCACATTTATTTAAGTTAAACTCCATCTTCCACTCCTTGGCCCATTCGCCCATTTGATCAAGATCCTGTTGTTCTCTGAGGTAACCTTCTTCACTGTCCACTACACCTCCAATTTTAATGTTGTCTGCAAATTTACAAACCATACCTCCTATGTTCACATCCAAATCATTTGTATAAATGACAAAAAGCAGTGGACCCAGCACCAATCCTTGCATCCTCAGCAGTACATCTTGAAATGAATGCTAACATTGCATTTGCCTTCCTAACTGCCACTGAACCTGAATGTTAACATTAAGAGAATCCTGAACCTGGACTCCCGAGTCTCTTTGAGCTTCAGACTTCCAAAGCTTTTCCCCATTTTGAAAATAGCCCACACCTCTATTCTTCCTACCAAAGTGCATCACCTCACACTTTCCCACGTTGTATTCCATCTGCCACTTTTTTGCCCATTCTCCTAGTCTGTCAAAGTCATTCTGCAGCATTCTTTTAGATGCATCTTTGCAACTGTCTCAATTTCTGGATTATAACCATAATTCTATCGCATTGTAAGCATAGCGAAAGTAGAATAAAGCAGATAAATGCCTGGCTCAAGAGATGGTGCAGGAGGGAGGGCTTTAGATACCTGGTGCAATGGATTCAGGAAAAGGTGGGACCTTTAGCAAGGCGAACAGGTTGCACCAAAAGCACAGCAGGGATCAGTGCCCCGTGGGGAGGCTGTGGAGCAAGGTTTGAATTAACTTGTCCACTGGCTCCACATTGTCTAACTTCATACATTAGCTTTTTTAATGGGGCATTTTATTGGAGGCCAGATAGATTTACATCAACTTTAGCATCATTGACTCTGTTACTTCCTTAAAAAATTCAGTTAGATTTCCTTATGTAATAATTATGTAAGTTAAATCCATTTTTCAACATTTGTTCAAACTTTCCAGCTGACTGGTGTACAATTCTCTGCAGTCCTTCTTCAGTATAGGAATTACACTAGTTATCCACTGGTACTCTGATAGTACACCCTTTTCTAATGAATAATTAAGTACATGTGGTTATGCCTCTTTTATCTCTTTATTACATTTTTTTAAAAATGTGGATGAATCAACTTGGACCAGGAGTTTTATCCTTTTTGAGTTTGTTTCAGTCTATTCAATGTAATACCTTTAAAAAAAAAACAGAATGCATTTATTTCGTTGCTTCTCTCATTATTCAATATCCCATTCAAGACAGAGATTAGGAGAATGTCCTTTCACTCAAAGAGATGTGAGTTTGTGGAATTCTCTTCCTGGGAGAACAGTGAAGTCTGGGATATTAAATATTTTTAAGGCAGAAGGAGTAGGCACAATTACAATGTTTAAAAGACATTTGGATAAGTTGATGAATGGGAAAGGTTTCAAGGGATATGGGCCAAGCGCAGGCAGGTGGGGGTAGTTTAGTTTGGGAACATGGTTGGTGGACTGGTTGGACCAAAGGGTCTGTTTCCATGTTTCCACTCTATGACTCTATGAGATAAATCTTGATTAACAAAGGAATCAAAGGGCATTGGGGTGGGCAGAGAAGTAGGGATCACAATCATATCAACCATGGCTTTATCAAATGGTGCTGCAAACTCAAGGGGCTGAATGGCCTACCTGTGCTCTAAATTCATATCTTTGTAATGGAGCTGGGAAACTGGCACATCAAAAGAATCCTGTTCAAGCAGAGACTGAAAATCCTGCCTCAAGTAAGTGCAACTTGATTCCCATTGCACTGAGGAGATACAAGAGGAGATGCACAGGAGGAGGATGGTGTGCACAAATAACGCAAAGGTTACTGAGGGGTGAGGAAATTTAATGTACAACGATGACAAGCACAGACAACGTCATTTTGGTGCCATTAACAGTTACTAGAGAGTTTCAAATGCAAATGGTGAAACATTTGAGAGGTAACCTTCAAAAACTTTGAGGATGAAAATGTATTTGAAGGTGGAGAAGTAAGGGTAAATTGCCTTTGACATTGAGGTACCATTTGAATGAGTATGGTGCAAAGGAGCCCCCGCAAAACTAGTGGCAATAAGGATCTTGGGAAAACTCTCCACTGTTGACAATTCTGTCACCTTGCCACCTTTAAATATTTGAGCATACAAGCCAGCAATCTCATGCTCAGGACAGCGATATCAGCCATGATCAATGAGCAAACCAGTGAAGTTTTGGTGATAATGATGGAAGGATTAGAACTTCAAGTGACAGCAGCTGCAAGATGGAAGATGCTGCAAGAAGACAACTGGTGTTTCTCTGAATATCTATTAAATGTTACCTCCCCACTTCACCATCTTATCAAAGTCATCCTGAAGTCTAGAACTAGCCTGATCATGTTTGACAACTGATTTCATTCTCTAAGGGGGAGTAGAGAATCATATGCATTTTTCTAACAATGGTCATCATTAAACTTTTAATTCCAGGATTTTTAAATTCAACTTTCACCATCTGCCATGATGGCATTCCCACCCAGGTCCCTCGAGTATTCCCTGGGTCTCAGTCCCTAGTCCAGTGTAGTCATGTCTCAATACTACAATGCCACCGTCTGCTCTTACCAAGCCTAGGTTATCAAATTTTGCTGAAGGGGGAGTGGTGCTGGTTATCTTTACCAGAACCACTGATCTTGTTATGTATCAAATTCACACAACACCTCATCAGTGGAAATACAAGGTCCTCTAAGTATTAAACTAAATGTCAACTGTAATTGTGAACTAAAGTCATTTTAATTTAAATAGACTTTAATATGTTGATTATGAAGGAGTTTTCCTTGCCCCTTGGAGGTGGTGAGGGACTAGGAAAAACTGTCAGAAAATATCTGGCTAGCTGGCTCTTGGGTAATTTCACACCTTCAACAGGTTTTGAACATAAAGCTGGGGGTGACGTTACCAATTCTGTCTGTCCACATTGAGAAACCAAATAAAGACATTGAGGCTTCAAATGTGATTTTCCAACAGGAAAGCAAGTGTGCTAGTGTCACATTGGACATCCTCCCTCCCCACTGCACTGTGTCATAAGCCTGTGAACTCACTGGTGACAGCACATTGGGAGGAGGTCTGGGCACCATTATAGGACATCAGCTTGTTGCTGTGTTAAAGAAACAGAAAAGTTGTATGTAGCACAGGTGTAAAAAGCATAGCTTATTGGAACTGCATGCCCTCCCACACATTGGTTCTCGAGATGGTTCTGCTGCCTGTTCACAGGAAGCTGTTGGAAGTTTTCAGTAAATATCACCTTCTTGCAAAACTCTCTCAGCCACCACCTGTCTCAACAGCACTTAGCTTTCCAAGCAAGACTGTCAGACTGCCCTCCCTTCGGTCCCTCTGAGTGGCCCATCTGCATTTCTGCTCTCTCCCCATTCCTAAGAAAATCCCAGGGCAGCTTCCTAATTGGTCAGCTCCATAAATTTAAGCCAATGGCACACAACTGAAATGCTTGGGCTAAGGACACAGAAATGGATCTGAACTTTGGGCACCAGGTGGAAAATTCAGTGCCCTATCTTTAACATGTTTTGAAACAAGAGGGATTAATACCTGTGAGATGACCTTTACAGAAAATTATATGCGTGCATTAACATCTACACCATAAAGAATTCAGTGATCTATTTGGAAGCATCCTTTTTAGCGGAGCCTTCTAATTTGGATGTTCTGTTGTTTATTACAGAATCTAACACTCCCATATTGAGACTGCAGGCTTTGCGAAGGAGAAAGCCTGGTTGGTGACCGGTGCCCGAAGGAACTGCAGCTGTACATTACCCCCGCCCCCACCAAGAACATTGAGTTTGTTTCCTAGGCAGCATGTGATAGAGGAACAGGAAGATTAACTCCTCACCCCCATCTGTCACTGTAGCTGAAATTGGCACAGAGAATAAATGCAGCGTATGCTGCAAATATAGATCGAAAACAAATTGAACCATCTTTTTTTTCAACTAGAAAGATTCAAAATAAAATGTTAAGATGTTTATACTACAAAAATGTGAACTTTTCAAAAATTCCTCTCTGATGTTATGCAAAAACCCTAGTTTCTCTTCAATTTTAATCCATTTCTCTATCTCCACTGTCTCTATTCCTCACCTGGGGCAATGAGAATATCAGTGACAGTGGATACAGCTAACGGTGGGTATAATGTGGGATGGGAGGGTGGTGGTAGCGACAAACATCATATATTAACATTATATCAACAGTACCGCTGCTTGTTTCGAAAACAGAATGAGATTATTTTTGCCGATGTACTGAAGCAATCCTCGCTCTCCCTGACATTGGGATGGACATATACCCACTGTCTCCCACCAGCTCGGTATTTCTTTTTACAAATTCCACTGTCAGTTTGCTGAAATTATTCCCCTCAGCATCACAGAAAAAACAAGGCTATGCTCCAGGTGTGATTTCTGAGCATCTAGCTGTTAGGTCTGATCCGTGTCTCTTCTTGAGGGAAGGGGGCTTTAGTGTCTCACCTCCTGTAGCCGATCCTTGGCTCTCCTGCATCTGCACTGCCTCAGTGCCCGGGATCTCAACCGCCTCCTGCTCCCGCTCGATCCCATCGATCTCATTATAATGTTGCTCCAGGAACGCAGCAGCAGGATCCACCTCGGCACCGGGAGCAGACCCGTTCCCAATATTCATCTTCCTCAACCCCGCAGCCAGAAATGATCAGGGAAACACGGTGTGAAAATGAAGAGAGCCGTCAGTCAGTCCAGCGAGCAGGCACAGGATCAGGATGCGAGAGAGAGAGAGCTCCAGCTCAGAGCATGAGGGAGAGACTGCGGCTGAGCCTGGCTCAGAGTCACAGCAATGGCCAGGGTGGGGGGGGGGGGGGGGGTCTGCCTGAGCAGCTCAGACCCGCCCTGTAACCCTCCAAACCAGAGAGAGCGCCCAGGGAGAGCCCTGAAACATAGCAGCTCACATTGAAACATTCTGCAAACAGTCAACAACCTCTTCAGGGGCATCTGAAAGGGCGATCAAAACAGGTTCAATTTGGAAAAGGGACGACCTGAAAAGGAAAAAAAAGATTTTGCAAAGCTTTGGGGAATCAGCAGGGAGTGATAACGGAATGCGGAGATCCAGGGTTCAAGTACAGAAGCTGGGGCACTAACGGCTCATTTTCTACCAAATGAACTAAATGAAAATGACAGAACAGCAGGCAACATTAGAAATCAGATAGGGCCCCCCCCAAGGCCCTAGAAGAATATAAAGGAAGCAGGAAAAAACTGAAACAAGACATTAGGAGGGCTATAGGGGTCAGGAAATATCGTTGGCAAGTAGGATTAAGGAGAATCCCAAGGTATTTTATACATAGATAAGGACCAAGAGGGCAGATAGGGAAGGGTAGGTCCACTCAAGAACAAAGGAGGGCAGGCAGCCAGAGGAAGTCGGTGAGGTCCATAGTAAGTACTTCACATCAGGATTCACCAAGGAGAAGAACATGGATGATCCTAAGATTAGGGAGAGGTATGTTGATATTCCATGGTATGTCATTTTAAGAATGAGGAGGTGTTTGGTCAAAAACATTAAGAGAAGTCCCCAGGGCTTGATGGGTTCTATCCCAGGATACCGAGTGAGAAAATTGAGGAGAACTGTTGGGGCCTTGACAGGGTACTCTGTGTCCTCTTTTGTCATAGGTGAAGTCCCAGAAAACTGCAGAATGTCCAATGTTGTCCCTTTGTTTAAGAAGAACAACACAGGAAATGATAAACCAGTGAACCTTACATCAGTGATAGGGAAATTCTTGGAGAAGATTCTTAGGGACAGGATTTATTCTTATTTGGAAAACAGTGGACCTATTTGGGATAGTCAGCATTGCTTTGTGCGGGGGAGGACTTGTCTCATAATTTTGACTGAGTTTTTTTGAGGAAGTGATGAATATGGGGGTAGGGCAGTGGATGTTGTCTACATGGACTTTACTAAAGCATTGGACAACGTCCCTCATGGTAGTCTGGTCCTGAAGATTAAGTCATATAGGATCCGCAGTGAGTAACTTGATAAGTTAGTCATAAAAAACAAAGGGTAGAGTGGAGGGGTAGTTGTATTTTTCTGACTGTGGTGTTCCACAAAAATCAGTGCTGAGACCTAAGTTGTTTGTAATATATACATAAATGATTTCGATGAAAACTTAGTGCTCTGGTAAATAATTTTGCAGATGAAATGAAAATTGGTGGAGTTGTGGATAGTGGGGAAGTTTATCAAAGGATACAGCACTAATGTCCTTCAGGGAAGGAAATCTGCCATCCTCACAGGTCTGGCCTATATTTGACTCCAGACCCACAGCAAAGTAATTTACTCTCAACTGTCCTCTGAAACAGCCTAGCGAGCCACTCAGTTGTACCAGTTGCTACAAAGTCTCAAAGAAATGAAACCGAATAGACCACCTGGCATCAACCTAGGCACCAGAAAAGACAATGGCAGAAACAGCCCTATCGATTCGGCAAAGTCCTCCTTACTTACATCTGGGGGCTAGTGCCAAAATCGGGAGAACTGTCACACACTCGTCAAGCAACAGCCTGACATCATACCTTACAGACAATGTCCCAGGCACCACCATCACCATCCCTGGATATGTCCTGTCCAACCGGCAGGACAGACCCAGCAGAGGTGATGGCACAGTGGGATACAGTTGGGAGGAAATTGTCCGAGGAGTGCTCTGGACCACATGAAGTCTCATTGCTTCAGGTTAAACATGGGCAAGGAAACTTCCGGCTAATTATCACATTCTGAACTCCCTCAGCTAATGAATCAGTACTCCTCAATGTTGAACAACACTTAGAGGAAGCACTGAGGATCACAAGGGCACAAGATGTATTCTGGGTGGGGGGTTTCAATGTCCACCAAGAGTCGCTTGGTAGCAGCACTCATCAAACTGGTCGGCTCCGATGGACATAGCTACCAGACTGGGTCTGCGGCAGGTGGTGAGGGAATCAACAAGAGGGTGAAACATACCTGACCTCATCTTTACGAGACTCCGGCTGCAGATGCATCTGTGCATGACAGTATCAGTAACAGCCTTGTGGAGACAAAGTCCTGCCTTCATATTGAGAGTAACCTCCATTGTGTTATGTGACACCACCACTGTGCTAAACGGCCAGAAGTCACATTTGGACTATAACCTGGTCACTTCTGACTTTGTCTGCCCCTGTCCAACACTGGCACCTCCACATCATGTGTTAAATTGGACAGACTTTGGACAGATCTAGCAACTCAAGACTGGGCATCCATGAGGAGCTGTGGGCCATCAACAGCAGCAGAATTGTACTTCAGCACATTCTGTAACCTCATGGCTCAGCATATCCCCCACTCAACCATTATCATCGAGCCAGGCGATCAACCTTGGTCCAATGGAGAGTGCAGGAGGGCATGCCAGGAGCAGCACCAGGTATACCTGAAGATGGGATGTCAATGTGGTGAAGCTATCAAACAGGACTACTTGCATGCCAAACAGCACAAGCAGCAAGTGAGATACAGAGCTAAGCGATCCCACAACCATCGAACCAGATCTAAGCCCTGCAGTTCTGTCACATCCAGTCGTGAATGGTGGTGGATGATTAAATAACTCACTAGAGGAGGCGGCTCCACAAATATCCCCATCCTCAATGATGGAAGAATTCAGCACATCAGTGCAAAAGATAAGGCTGAAGCTTTTGCAGCAACCTTCTGCCAGAAGTGCTGAATGGATGATCCATTTTGGCCTCCTTCAGTGGTCCCCAGCATTACACATACCAGTCTTCAGCCAATTCGATTCACTCCATGTGACATCAAGAAACGGTTGGAGATACTGGATACTGCAAAGGCTACCGGCCCTGACAACATTCCAGCAAGAGTACTGAAAACTTGTGCTCCAGAACTTGCCACTCCCCTAGCTAAGCTGTTCCAGTACAGTTACAACACTGGTATCTACCTGACCATGTAGAAAATTGCCTGGTTAAATCCTGTTCATAAAAAGCAGGACAAATTGAAACCGGCCAATTACTGCCCCATCAGTCTACTCTCGATAATAAGTAAAGTGATGGAAGGTGCCATCAACAGCGCTATCAAGCAGCACCTGCTCAGCAATAACCTGCTCAGTGACACCCAGTTTGGGTTCTGCCAGGGCCACTCAGCTCCTGACCTCATTACAGCCTTGGTTCAAACATGGACAAAACAGCTGAATCCCAGAGGTGAGGTGAGAGTGACAGCCCTTAACATCAAGGCTGAATTCGATTGAGTGTGGCATCACAGAGCCCTGGCAAACTAGAATCAATGGCTATAGGGGGCAAACTCCCTTGGTGGTTAGACTCATACCTGATGCATAGGAAGATGGTCGTGGTTTTTGGAGGTCAGTCGTCTCAGCTCCAGGACATCTCTGTAGGTGTTCCTCAGGTTACTGTCATTGGCCCAAACATCTTCAGCTGCTTCATCAATGACTTTCCCTCCATCATAAGGTTAGAAGTGGGGTGTTTGCCACTGATGGCACCATTTGCGACTCCTCAGATACTGAAGCAGTCCTTGTTCAAATGCAATAAGATCTGGACAATATCCAGGCTTAGGCTGACAAGTGGCAAATAACATTTGCGCCACTCAAATGCCAGGCTGTCACCATCACCAACAAGAGACAATCTAACAGTGTCCTTTGACATTCAATGGTATTACCATCACTAAATCTCCCAGTATTAACATCCTTGGGGTTATCATTGATCAGATACTCAACTGCATCAGCACACAAGCACAGTGGCTACAAGAGCAGGTCAGAGGCTCGGAATGCTGCGGTGAGTTACTCACCTCCTGACTCCCAAAGCCTGTCCACCATCTACACAGCATAGTCATGTGTGTGATGGAATACTCCCCACTTGCCTGGATGGGTGCAGCTCACACAAGACTCAAGAAGCTTGACAACATCCAGGATAAAACAGCCTGCTTAGCACCACATCCACAAGCATCCACTTCTTCTGCCACCAATGCTCAGTAGCGGCAGTGTGTACTATCTACAAGATGCACTGCAGAAATTCATCAAAGATCCTCAGAGAGCACCTTCCAAACCCATGACCACTTCTATCTAGAAGGACAAAGACAGTGGGCATATGGGAGCACCATCACCTTCAAGTTCCCCTCCAAGCCACTCACCATCCCGACTTGGAAAAATATCATCATTCCTTCATTATTGCTGGGTCAAAATCCTGGAATTCCCTCCCTAATGACATTGTGGGTCAACCCAAAGCAGGTGGACTGCAGTGGCTCAAGAAGGCAGCTCACCACCACCTTTAGTTAGGCCATGTTTGGAGTACCTTGTGCAGTTCTGATTGCCACACTATAGGAAGGATGTGGAGACTTTGGAGAGGGTGCAAAATTGTTACTAAATTTTGCCAGGATTGGATTGAATCAGCTATAGGAAGAGGTTGGATAAACTTGGATTGTTTTCACTAGAGCATCGGAGACTGAGGGGCAACCTGATGGAAGCATATAAAATTAAGGGAGGCATGGATAGGGTGGATAAACTTTTTCTTTTTTTCCCAGGGTGGAAATGCCAAATACTAGGAGGCATAGGTCTAAGGTGAGAGGGGGAAAGTTCAAAGGAGATGTGTTAGGGACGGTTTTTCTACAGAGGGTGGTAGATGCTTAGAACGCACTGCCGAGGGAGGTGATAGAAGCAAATATGTTAGCAAAATGTAAGAGGTATTAGACAAAAACATGAACAGGCAGGAAATAGAGTGATATGGACCATATGCAGGCAGTTGGGATTCGTTTAGAATGGCATCATGTTTGCCACAGATACAGTTGACTGAGGGGCCTGTTCCTGTGCTGTATTGCTCTATATTCTGTGTTCTATGACACTTAGCACAAGCATAGCCACAGAAGAGGAGCAGAGAGTCAGCAGCTATGACCCCCTCCACAGTCCGCTGCCTGAACCTGTCATCGTCGAGCCGACCAGGTCCAGGAGCAGACCTGCAAGCAGGTTCTCTGACTTGCCGCATCCTTCTGCACCGTGTGCCCAAAGATCAGGAGCATGGAGCTGAAGTGCAACCAAAAGCACAACAAAAGATTTTTCAAATAAAAACCCAGCTTTTAAAAAAAATTATTTTGTAAGAACCCAACTCTGTTTTGTATCTTTCTGGAAGTGCTCTTACACGGAATGGCATTTCCCATCACAAAATCACCTGTAGTATTTTTTCATCTATTAACTACCACTGGTAAATCACCCATGTTTTCCAAATTGATGAATTTACATGCAAAGCCCATTCAGGGTACTGCAAACCATCAAATGTGAGGGAGATGTCAGGAGAAAGTTCAATGACCATCACTCTCTGTCAATCAACTCTGTAGCTGTTTTGAATTTTTTAAGTGACCTGCATCTCTAAGACTAATATGAGTGACTGCCATGTAGTCCTTGTGGAGAAGTCCCAACTTCACATTGAGAATACCCACCGTTGTGTTCTATGGCAACACCACTATTCTAAATTGGACACATTTTGAACAGATATAGCAATTCAAAACTGGGTACCAATGAGGCCCAGTCGGCCATTAGCAGTAGGAGAACTATATTCAACCACAATCTGTAACCTCAAGGCCTACTTATTCCCCCATTCTACCATTACATAAAGCCTAGAAATCAACATTGGTTCAAAGAAGAGTACAGGAGAACATGGCAGGAGCAGCATCAGGAAATCCTAAAAACAAGATATTGACTTACAAGCCAATGTACATGCCAAACAGAGGAAGTAACAAGTGATAGAAAGCTAAGAGATTCCACAGTCAGTGGACCTGATCCTACCTCTGCAGCCCTGTCAGACCCAGCTGCGAATGATTGGAGGAAGATTAAACAACTAACAAGAGATGGAGACTCCAGAAATACCCCTATCTTCAATGCTGGGGGAGCCCCGCTCATGAGTGCAAATGATGAGTCTGAAGCATTTTCAACATCTTCAGCCAGAAGTGCTGAATTCATGATTCATCTCCTCCAGAGATCTGCAGCATCACTGATACCCGTCTTCTGCCAGTTTGATTCACTACACATGATATCAAGAAACAGTTAGATGCACTGGATCCTGGAATGGCTGTGGACCTTGACAACATTCTAGAAATTGTACTGAAACCTTGTGCTCTAGAATTTGCCACCCGTCCAGCCAAGCTGTTCCAGTCCATCTACAACATTGACATTTACCTGACAATGTGAAAAATTGCCCAGATATGTCCTGTGTGAGAAAGCAGAATAAATCCCTCTGCTCCTATGATGCTGCTTGGCCTGCTGTGTTCATCCAGCCCTGCACCTTGTTGTCTCGGATTCTCCAGCATCTGCAGTTCCTACTATCTCTGGTCAATTACTGCCTGAGAGAAGGAATGGAAAAAGTCATCGTGTCCTATCTAGTGTGAGTTGCAAAGGAACAATCTCATTATTGACGGTCAGCTTGGGTTCCACCAGGGCTCCTCAGGTCCTGACCTCATCTCAGTCTTGATCCAAGCACGGACAAAACAGTTGAAAACCCCAGAAGTAAGGTGACAGTGACAGCCTTTGACATTGAGGCAGCATTCAACTGTGTATAGTATCAAGCAGCCATAACAAAGCTGAAGTTAAAGGAACTTGGCGTAAATTAAGGAAACTATCAGTTGGGCTCATACCTGGCAAAATAAAGGATGGTTGTGGTTTTTGGAGGTCAGCCATCTCATCTCCAGGACACCTCTGCAGGAGTTCCTCAGGATAGTGTCCTAGGCCCAACCATCTTTAACTGCTTCATCAACAACCTTCCCTCCATTGTAAGTTCAGAGTGGGGATGTTCAGCTACGCTTGTACATTTTTCAGCACCATTTACGACTCCTCAGATACTGAAGCAGACCATGTGCAAATACAGTGAGATCTAGACAGTATCCTGGCATGGGCGGACAAGTGGCAAGTTTGGGGTTCAAGTCATAGCTCCCTGAAGTGGCCACACAAATGGATATGGTGGTAAAGATGGCATATAGCATGCTTACTTTTATTGGTCAAGGAACTGAGTACAAGAGTCAGGATGTCATGTTACAGCTTTATAAGATTTTGGTTAGGCCACACTTAAGCATATTGTGTTCAATTCCAGTCACCACATTACAGGAAGGATGTGGAGGCTTTCGAGGGGGTGCAGAAAAGGTTTACTAGGATGCTGCCTGGATTAGAGTGTGTGAGCTGTAAGGAGTGGCTAGAAAAACTAGGATGTTTTGTCTGGAGCAGCAGAGACTGAGGGGAGACTTCTTAGAAGTCTATAAAATTATGAGATGTATAGATAGGCTTGACAGTCAGAATCTTTTTCCCAGAGTTGAAATGTCTAATACTAGGGGGCAAGCATTTAAGGTAAGAGGGGGAAAGTTCAAAGGAGATGTGAGGGGCAAGTTTTTACACAGAGAGTGGTAGGAGTCTGGAACGCACTGCCAGGGGTGGTGGTGGAGGCAGATACGATAGGGACGTTTAAGGGACTTTTAGATAAGCACATGATTATGCAAAGAATGGAGGAATATGGCCCAAGGGCAGGCAGAATGGATTACTTTGATTTGGCATCATGTTTGGCACAACATCGTGGGCCAAAGGGCCCGTTCCTCTGCTGGACTGTTCTATGTTCTAAGAAGTCCTAAGAAAACTGGAATCAACAGGTGTCGAGACAAACTCTCCGCTGATTGGAGTCATATTTGGTACATAGGAAGATGGTTGTGGTTGTTGGAGGTCAGCCATCTCAGCTCCAGGATATCTCTGCAGGAGTTCCTCAGGATAGTGTCCTTGACCCAACCGTCTTCAACTGCTTCATCAATGACCTTCCTTCCATCATAAGGTCAGAAGTGGGGATGTTCACTGATGATTGCACAAATGTTCAGCACCATTCGTGACTCTTCACAAACTGAACAGCCCGTGTTCAAATGGAGCTAAATCTGGATATCCAGGTTTAGGCTGAAAAGTGGCAAGTACTGAGCATTGTGGGTAAACCCATAATACATGGTCTGCCGCGGTTCAAGGTGGGAGATCACCACCATCTTCTCAAGGGCAACAATGGACGGGCAATCAACGCTGGACACTCCAGCAACGCCCATGCCCAATGAATATAAAAAAAATCAGACGCATTCCCCAGAGGGACAGGCACCCACACCATGGGGAAACAGGACGGCCTGGATAATAATGCGCAGGTGCGGCGCCTCCACTGTTGCCCGGGTAACGCAGTGAAGAGGCGGGGTCCCGTGTGGGGAGGGCGGAGCCAGGATGAGGTGTTGCGGCCATCAGCGAAGGGGCAGTGACGCGCCCGGGAGCGGGGCGGGGTCATACGGGGGCGGGATTACGTGGAAGGGGCGGGTCCACGTGGAAGAGACGGGACCTTGTGAGGGGCGTGACCTCGTGGAGGAGGCGGGGCCGTAGGTTGGGGCGGGGCCGTACGGGGGTAGTGAGCTGGGGAGGGCCTGGTTGATAAGGCGCAAGCGCGGGGCCGCTCGGCCACTCGAGTTGTGCTGGGGCCGCGGTTGGTGTGAAAATGTCGGTAGAATTTGAGCTGTGTCCCGGGAGGGCCGTCGGCGGCGATCAACCGTGTTTCATCATCGCTGAGATCGGCCAGAACCACCAGGGCTGTATGGACATCGCCAAGCAGATGATCCGGATGGTTAAGGTAGCGCCTGGAGCGTCCCGTGATGGGGCCGGACCTGGACCTGGACCCGGACCCGGACCCGGACCCGGACGGTGATTCATTGTGAAGGGAAGGCCCGGTGTGGAGTAGGCCCGGTGCTAGAGCAATGAAACCCACCAGCTTCGCCATTCTCCTGGGGAGAGGGGTTTGCCCCCACCCCCTTCTCACT